ATGAAGGGTTGGACATAGAGCCCACGCCATTGGAAACCCGCTGAAGAACTGTAAAGGAGACCAGCAGGAGCACTAGGTTAGGTTCCTAAGATCCTTCTGGTTATACCACTGCCAGCCTGTATTTCCTGCATTTGAGCCTTCTACTAAAAAGCAGCCCTAAAAACTTATCAACAGTTTGTTCATGAGGGCATGCACCCACATCACAGGAAACCCAAACATCATAAGCCAGAGTGAGAGATTTAACTCCAACAACAAAGTTTCTCCTGCTCACCTGAGTCACCGTATTTGTTCCCCAAGTTTGGAACTTTTAGAACTGATTCAAGCCCAGCGGCAAGAGCAATAAAACGAGACTGATCTTTGCTTTTGGTATTGGCTGCTGTTTGCGAGCACTAAAGGATGACACTAGCATCCCCGCTTTGCCACTGGCCATTGTGAATTACTTCATTAACTGCAGTTCTGACCAGAGGAGCACTGGAAAGCAGCAATAATCCTGATTGACTGGATGAGCTGAGGGCCTCATGTACTCAGGCCCCTGCTTGTCCAGAGGCCAGGACCAGGGCTTTGCTGCACATAGGCTGAGGCCAGCCAGCCATTCCCTTGATCTGTTGCTCCAGGGTGATCTTGGTGCCCATTTTGTGGCACACCTTGTGCTTTACACTGTGGGGAATGTGAAACCACCCTTGGCCTGACAGAGCCCTTAGCCAAGTGGGAAGGCCTGTAGGCTGCCCCGAACTGTCAAGCTAGGCTGTGCAGTGCTGTCCCAGGCCCACTGTGGAGGAGCTCTGAGCAGGGGCTGGGGCTGGGGTGGGGCAGGCGTCCAAGAGAAAATACTGAGTTTGGAAGGGAAAGGAGTGGTAAGGAGAACCTTGCAGTGAGCACCTTCAACAAAGGCCCAGAGGGGTGTGACTGGGAAAAAGAGAGGGGAAGGGTCCCTGAGCTGGTACCTGTGAGAGTAGGGAAATGATAGTAAGGAGAGATCAAGCTAGGTGTGGTGGCACCAGCTTGTTTTGTTTTGCTTTTTTTGGTACCAGGGATCGAACTCAGGACTTTGTGCTTGCAAGGCAAACGGCAGAACCACTGAGTTTCTTTCATCAAATTTTTTTTTTTTTTCTTTTTTTGGTACCGGGGATTGAACTCGGGTCCTTGCGCTTTCGGGGGCAGTCAGCGGAACCACTGAGCTAAATCCCCAGCCCAGGCAGAACCACTGAGTTAAATCCCTGACTCGGCACCAGTTTGTAAAATCTCAGCACTCTAGGAAAATGAGGCAGGAGGATCTCAAGCTTGAGCCTAGCCTGGGTAATTTAGCAAGACCTTGTCTCAAAAGATTAAAAGTCTAGAAATACAGTTCAGTGCAGAAACAGTCAACTGATTGTCCGAGCTCTGGGGTGCAAACTATATAGTCCCAGCGCTTGGGAGGCGGAAGGAGCACTCGATTTCAGGTTTTCAAGACACACCTGCTCAACAGACTGTCTCAAGGTAAATCATGAGAGGCCTCCAATGCCATGCTAAAGGCTTTGAATTTTATTATAGGTTTTGGGAAACAACATCATGGAACTTGAAAGTTTGATATTGCAGAAGTAACATGTTATGGGAAGATAATTTGGGAGAGAACTGAAAGAAGCATTGATGAGAAACATTTAGCGATTAATTGGCAAGGTTTTGATGAAAGAAATTAAACTCCAAGCCTTCTGAAGCCAGAGCCTGGCCCTTCCCTCTGCTCCCGCCTCTGCCAGCGTCTCACTGCATGTCCTTTTAACCAGCACCGTCAGGAGAAGGGCTTTAAAAATGACAGCAGGGCGTGGTAGTGCGCGCCTTTAATCCCAGCACTCTGGGAGGCTGAGGCCAGGAGGATTGAGGATCGAGGATCGCATATTCAAGCTCAACCTGGGCAGTTCAGCAATTTAGCAAGACACTCTCTTAAAATTTTAAAGAATGTTGAAAGGACCGCGGATGTAGCTCAGTGTGAAGGATCTGGGTTCTCCCTCTAGTACCGCCAAGTTAACTGCCATCAAAACAGAAAGTTCCGGACTGGGGACTTAACTCAGTGGCACCGCGCCTGCCTCGCAAGCGCAAGGTCCTGAGTTTGTTCCCTGGTATCAAAAAAAAAAATCAAGTTCCATTTCATGTTGCATCAGTTACTTCTCTCTAAACTGGCAAAAATTAAACCCCCAGATAAATCACGCACGATTTAACATTGCACAATGTTTCCCTTTACTTGGTTTTGGTTTTATCTCTTTTTAAAACTTATTTTCATCAAAGTAGTAAACGATTTAAATGTCAGGCCTTCAAACTGGCTGCTCCAGCGAATGGAGCCCCTCCGTTGGTCCCATTGCTCCTCCCTCCAGGCGATCACCCCTCCCTCCGGGCGTGGCTTCCGTTGTGCCCTGAAACCTGTGGCGCTTTTAAAGGAGTAAATTCCCAGGCCCTCTCACTACTTGGGTATGGAACGAGAGCACAGGGGGCGGAAACTGTATGCACCTTCTAAGCATTGTATTCTAAGTGGAAAACAGTGGTTTAAAACTATTTTAAATTGCACATTCCCCTAAAAGAGGACAAAAAGGCTTTTCAAAAAATATCTATAGCCCAGATGTAACATTTTATGTTCTTTTTCCTAGTATGTATCACTGCTGGTCTAAGTAATATTCGTAGCATTTTTTTTAGTTGAAACGTTATCAGTTTTTGGATAAGTTGATCTCTGTTTATATTATTCTAACCATGTAAACGTTGTTCGCCACCGAGACAAGTGTGCAGTATTATAATTAATGTAGGGGCCGGGGATTTAGCTTAGTGGTTCTACTGCCTGCTCGCAAGCTCAAGGACCCGAGTTCGATTCCCAGTACCAAAAACAAATAAATAAAATATAATTAATGTGACTGTTTCCCTCTCTATAACTTAACTTTTCTCTCCCAGTTAATACTTGCGTTGGGGTGGAGTAGGGTGGAGGAGGCTTCTGCTCTCTAACCACTCATCTCCACCTGTGACCTTGGTAGCTGTGCTCCAGAAACCCGGCTGCTCTGTCCCACAGGCCCCGTTCTTACCCCGGCACCCTGCACCTTGCACTTTCTCCCAGAGCCCGCGGTGGCTGCCTCCGGGTGTGCTCCATGGCGCCGCGGAGCACGGGCTTCAGCACTGCCTGGGGACTGTGCAGGGCCACCAACTTTGATCCCTCGTACAGCTCAAGGTGCCTTCGTTCTACGGCAGGCTTCGCTGTGGGGATCGGTTGATGGGCCATGTGGAATTCTAAGCTGAACCCTTGAAGGTATTGCTCCAGCATCTTTTAGCTTCTAGGTTTGCTGTTAAGAGTCCCACCCTGTTCTCATTCCCACTTCTTTATACGACTTTCTGTTGTTCTTTCTAGAATCTTTTAGGATCTTTGCTGTATCCTCAGTGTTCTAAAACTTTGCAAAGATGTGTTTTAGTCTGTGCATCTTTTTTCATTTATTTTGCTGGGTGTCACATGGGCCTTTTCAATCTGAAACTCATGGTTTTTTTAGTTCTACAAATTCACTATGTCTAATAATTTCCTGAGCCGGATGTGGTGGTGCATGCCTATGATCCCAGCATTTGGAAAGCTGAGGATCACCATGAGTTCAAGCCCAGCATGGGTGGCTTAGCAAGACTCTGTCTCAGAAAATAAAACAAAAACTTATATTCCTTTTCCATAGCTACTTTTGTGTGTGTGTGTGTGGTGCTGAGAATTGAATCCAAGCTCTTGCACATACCAATTTCATCTGTGAGGATATTGTTTGCTTTCTTTGTACCACACTTTCTCAGCTACCCCAGTGTATGTACCTCTTCCCTCTAAATACCTTTGTGTTCTCTAAGAGTGACGTACTAAAAAACACTGATTGTTGTAGTATACACGGGCAGAGTGTGGTGACCTACATGTCTTAGGGTTAGTATTAGGACAGCAGGTCTCCCCTCCCCGCCAAATGTCACTATAGATCTTTTCTTAGGATATTTCCAGGTCAGGTTCTCAAGACAGTGGCTGAGCCTCAGATGTGTCAAAAAGGCCTGGCCATCTACAGGTGTGGTCCATTAGGTATAGATTTTCAGCCCCCTCCCCTCTCTGCAGGAGCCAGCCCTCCACATCTGGAGCCCCTCTTGGCATGGGCTTGCACCTTCCACCTCCTGATCAAGTCAGAACAACTTTTTCACATTTTCTCTGCACCTTCCAAAACTGTCAGTATCCCTTTTACATCCTTTTCCCCATTCATTATAATTCTAGTTTCAGAAAGAAGAGGTCAGCCAGTAAGTTTATTCAGCCTTGTTTACCTAGAAGTGGACTATCTCCTTCCCTCCTCTGAAGGTACATGCTGCTCACTTTATGTTAAACTGTCCTTCCTACTCTAAGTAATAGGGATATTGGAAGACAATTGAGTCTCTCTCTCTCAGTTTGTGTGCATGTCTGTCTCTGTCACTCTGAGTTGACCTCAAGTTTTACTGTGAAATCTTAAAGTCAGCATCAAATGAATTAGTCCCCCCGACACACACACGCGCACACACACACACACACACACACACCCTTTTTTTAAGCTTGACTCTGAAAGGAGGGTTATAGTTGAGCAGAGGCCAGAAAACAGAATAGGAAAGGGAATTTTTTCTTTTCAAGCTAAGAGAAACCTAGCACAACAGAAAGGGGGTTGAAGTAGGCAGGTGGTATAGCCAAACATTAAAGAGGAATATGGTCTATTCCTAGAAGAGAAAAGTAGTCATGGGGTAGGATTCATACCAGATAAGCCTGAGTTTCCTGGAGATGAAGACAGGCAAGGTCTCCTGTAAAGTTTTAGTTTCTCCAGATTTTCTTTCTTGATAGTCTGTTTTGAAAAAGTAGAGTGGAATGAGGCAAGAGACTGATTTGTGCCGGGAAAGTGAGTATGTGATTTCCTGGGGCCAGCAGACAGTGGCATCCTGGGGGCCTAGGGCCAGCTGCCCCCACCTCACCAGCGTCTGGAGCATAAGCACAGCCCTCACCAACCGTCTTGCCTTTGTCTCTCCAGGCCTGGTCCAGATCCCGGTGAGCATGTACCAGACTGTGGTAACCAGCCTCGCCCAGGGCAATGGGCCAGTGCAGGTGGCCATGGCCCCTGTGACCACCAGGATATCAGACAGCGCAGTCACCATGGACGGCCAGGCTGTGGAGGTGGTGACGTTGGAACAGTGATACGCAGCCATATCATGGCATCGTTTTCTAGTCTACTTCAAAATTTTTTACACGTTTTGCAGAGGTGCAATCAAATGGAATTAAGTCTCTCGACTTTGGAAGAAAAGTTTTGTTGACCTTTTTTTTAAAAGGAAGAAAGGTGGCGGATTTGGGAATTGCATTTTTTTAAAGCACCACTCTTGATTTTCTGGGATTGGTGGAGTAAGAAGCTGCATTGTCAATTTCACTGTCCCAAAAAAGCCAAATTGTGGCAGGACTTCTTTCTGCGGAAACATGTGTGTATACTTGTGTGTGTGTGAGTGTGAATATATGTATATGTGTACATATGGACATACACATTTACATATATATATATATAAAGTATATATATACATACATATATATGTATGAAACCCGCATGGAATTCTCTGTATGAAATCAAGGTGAGCTGTGGAAACAATAATCCACCCAGTTTAGTGGGTGATAGGGTACGTGGCCAGACACAGTCACCTGGTTTTTGTTCATACCAGGGTCATGCGTTGAGCTACTGACAAACTCAGGCAGAGGTGATCCGCCCTTCACCAAAGCTGCCTCCCAGCGGCCGCCCAGAACTCTCCCTTCTGGACTCAACTGAGGAAGGAGGTTCCAGGATGCGGTGGGGCCCAGGGCCGGTGGTCTGTGGGCTGGGACACACCCGGCCGGCCCAGGTGCTGAGTTCACCTTGGGCAGAGGGATGTCCTGGAAGCTCTGGAACAAGGCTAAGAAGGTGACCCTCAGCCTCGGGCCTCCTCCCCTTCCCAGGGACCCTTCTGGAGCTTAGGACTGTTGAAGAGTTGCTTTGGTTTTAAGGTCAGTCCTGACTTGGTCATATGTATGAATTGAAGGTAACAGAAGTATTAAGGGTCTGAGGAGTGTGTGCTAGGTGCACTTGTGTGTGTGTGTGTGTGTGTGTGTGTGTGTGTGTGTGTGTGTGTGTGTCCTGGGGGAGAAAATAGGAAGGGATTCGAGGAGTTGGAAGGGAAAGGAAGGAGAGAGAGAAGTCTTCATAGACCAGGGTTCATCAGTGCAAGCCATTTTCTTTAGCTGGCTGGAATAGCTTAACAGAGCACACCAGAAAGGGACACGGGCTCAGGAACTATGGCTGTCACAACAGAGCATGTCAGGAGAGGAAGGGGCCAAATTCCTGGATCCCCTCCTTCAGGAGGCTCTCCGAGGCCCCTTTCCTGCCTATGACCCAGGCCCGGACCAGCCTTCCTTCTCACAGGTGTGCACTGGTCTGGGTGTTGTCACTGTCAAATTCTGTGCTTTCACAGGGAATTTAGCTCAGTGGTTCCGCCACCTAGCTCGAAAGTGCAAAGTCCCGAGTTTGATCCCTGGTACCAAAAAAAAAAAAAATTCTCTGCTTTCCAGTGGCAGCCCTGAGTCTCCAGTGGATAAATTCACCTGACTTTTTGACAGGCCAAATCTCTGCTCCTCGAGTACAGGGACAACACTTCCTCCCTCTTCCCAGGTTTCCCTACATGTGTGATAGTGTATTTAATGTGTTTTTTATGCGAATTAAAAGATTCCTCATGTCTTGCTCAGCCTTTGAGAAAAGTTTCAGATTCTTGTATTTGCTTGTTTTATATAAAACTATCCAATGTTCTTTGTATGTTCTTTTCTGTACGTATGGGGGGAGGGCAGGGAAATTTACATATGAACAGTCCTAGTTCTACAATTTGTTATTTTTTTAATTATTATTTTTATTGTCATTGTGAAGCTGTCCAGGGCTTTAAAGTCCGTGTTCCTTTGTGGTAAAATAACCTCCTAATAGTTTGAGAAATTGCCAAGAAGAAGAAAAAAAGCAAAACCTCAGTAGCAAAGCATGGATTCTGTGTTGTTTTCCATTCTGTCTATACTGCCTCATTCAATAAATAGTTTAAAATGTGGCAACAGGAAGTGAAACTGTTCATCTCTGGAGCAGTCCTTGGCCTTTTGGGCAAAAGAACTCTCTTTTGGAGTGGCTCGTGCTTTTTGAAGAATACTTGTACTCAAGGCCAATGGTCTTTGTCCGCCATGGCACTGGAGAACCCTGGAAGGAGGTCACAGGTGAGGGCCTCCTGCTGACTCCAGCACCAGACCAGTTCCTTTGCATGTATAATTTTGTTTTCTGTAACATGATGTCCTAGGAGAAAAGTCTAGTTTGAAAAATCCTGAGAATGGTTTGAAGCCTCTACTCTGAGTTCTCTTCTTAAGCATTAATTTTCTATCTGCAGTAAAAATCAAGGTGGGCAGTGGTGCCTCTCCATCCTGGGAGGCTGTCCCACCATTGGCTTTCTTTAACACTTGAGTGGATCATCCTTGATGCAGAAGGCCCAAGACACAAATGTTCCCTGACGTCCTCACTCCTGGGTTTCTCACACAGCTCGCTATCTTAACATGTCGACTGCTACCTCTCTAGCTGTGTCTCCTGCTGCACCCCCAGCTCAGGAGCTTCCCAGTGCCCTTACCCTCCACACCCTGTTTTGTACACTTGTCTCAGCGTGGAATGCCCTGTCCCATCCCCATGCCACTGCCACCCCCTCTCTCTGTTCTGCGGTTGGATGTCTTAGTGATGAGGATTAGAATTGAATGGGGGGAGGGTTTCCTTGATGTCTGACAGTGGTTCCCTAAAGCCTGGTGCCTACCTCTCCCTCTTGCACAAATGGCATGGGGCCACCTATTTTCACTAAAGAGGATGGAGCAGAGGAAGGGGTTGTTGTAGCCACCAGGAAGAATGAGGTGATCTAGAGACCGTCTTGGTCAGGATGAGCCTCTCGCAGGTGCCACCGCGCAGCCCTTGCTGTTTGGCCAGACCCAGACACTGCTGCCACCACACGAACGGGTTGAGAAATGTCTTTGGTGGAGCTGATGGAGACCCTTTCTTCTGTCACTGCCCAAGTCACTGACAGGAGCTACTAAATTCAGCTGTCCTTCGAGAACAATAAGGTAAGTCCAGTCAGTAAATGAAGCAGCAGCAGTTGAGGTGGGAAAGAAGAGTGCTGAGACAGGCAGAGTGGAGAGCATCTCTAAAGGGGAAGCCCTCAGGTGCCAAAAGATTGTCACCTCACAGGAAGGGGCCCCTTCTTGCCCTATGTTCAGAAATTTCCAGAGAATCTGGGGAATCTAGGTTTTTATATGAAATCTGATTTCATCAGCAACTAAAAAATTCCCTACCTGCTCTGCAGGCAAAATAAAGCCCATCTGTAGATCAGATCTGGCCCAAGGGTGAGTTTTCTTGAACGTCACAAATGCCTAACATGTGCCAGACAACTAAAGCATGGCATGGCTGCTGAGAAACAAGAAGGGCAGCAGCCACGTGTGTGAACAGGTCGAGCGGCCCAGGTGAAGCGAAGCCGTCTGCATGGCGGCACAGCAGAGTTCTAATCTCGTATCTCCTCAAGGGCCCTCCGTGTTAAGTAGTTTATCATCCGGCTGCAGATAAGCATCTGGTGCTCACAGAAACCAAGAGACCTGTCTAAGAATTCTTCACCATGAGTCCTTCATCTAAGAAGACCCATTGGTGATTCTGGTGAAGGGCTGGGGCAGAGGAGGGACAGCTAGGAAGAGGGGCTCAGGCTGTAGTGAGTGCACTGTGCCTGGCTCAGACCCCAGTAGGGACCCAGAATCTCAGCCTTGGGCACGGCAGGGTAGACCAGGCCCATGGCAGTCCTTTGGTGCCAGCATCAAAACTCACCAGGAGGAAAGCAACTTAGCTATTTGGAGTACAGCCCACAATTCCCCACCGCCATCTCAGTGGGCCACGGACTGCCAGGTCACCAGCCCAGGCTGCCCATGGCTTCAGCATGTCTGGTGCTAAGATGCCCAATTGGAGGTCCCTGTCTGTGGACCCCTGCTGGGCTGGTGCTGGTGACTGAAAGAGGGCTATCCATGGGGAAGACCCATGCAGGACGGTGGACATGGGGAAGGCAGCACAGAAGGAGGTGAGCTAGCAGGGGACTGGGACATCAGAACGGGGCTGGACTGAAGCAGCTGGAGAGCCACTGCCTTGCTGGCACTGCAGTGCCCTGGAAGAGATCCCCAGCCCACTCAGAAAACCAGTAAGCTATTGACAGATGTTTGCTGAGTACTGGTGGCCCAGAGTTTATCTGCAGCGTGGGGAAAGGAAGGAGCAGGCTATGCGGAGTGGAACCAAGCTAGAGCTGCCACCAGAGGAAGGTCAGGCTGGGGCCTCAAGCCTGCCACAGGCACTCCTGGCTCTTGCACATCAGAAATGTGCTTGTCCACAATGAGGGTGTCTGTGGTCGAAATGAATAATTAAGAGTCCTCAGAGCATGCCGCATGCTGTGCTGGGATTTACCTACGTGCAATATGTACCCATTTATTCTTCACAAAGTATTATTATTACCCTTTTACAGATGAGCAGGGAGGTACAAAGAGGGTAGGTTAAATAACCTGGCCAAGTTCACTCTACTGTAAGAGCCAGAGCCAGGGTACAAACTTGGGCAGGCTGGTCCCAGAGTCTGTACCACCTGATACGCTTTTCTTGTGGCCTAAAGTGGATGAAAGTGGAGAATATAAGAACATTCAGTTATATTTCTTAAATAGCTTAACTAATGTTTGGGAGAAAAAGCTAGAAACAACCTGCCTCCCCAAGTTTAATCCACTTGGAAATAAAATTGTTAGCAAGAGCCTCGCATGATGGTGCACACTTATAATTCCATCTACTCAGGAGACAAGCAGGAAGATCTCAAGTTTGAAGCTAGCCCAGTCTACTTAGTGAGACTCTAACCCCTGCACACACACACACACACACACACAAAAGGTAATTTTCTTCCTAATTTATTTGTCCATTAAGAAACTTACATTAAAAAAAAGAAAAAAGAAACTTACAGCTTCTGTTGTCTCAGGCATGGGGGCCCACTCTCACACTATCGTGTATACTTTTTTTCCTACTTTTTTTTTTTTTTTGGTACTGGGGATCGAACTCAGGACCTTGCGCTTTGGAGGCAGGCACCGGAACCACTGAGCTAAATCCCCAGCCCCTTCTTTTCCTACTTTTACTTGACCCAAACTCACTCTGCAGAGCCTATTTCTTTTTCTACCTATAATAAAACTTTGTTACCAAAATAAAGAAGAAACTCACTGTTACAGCTACCAGTTACACAATGGCTGTTCTACTTTTTTATGGTAAGTACATACCATTTCTAATCCTCTCCACAATCCTTGAAGAGAAAGAGTCCATCTTACAGGTGTGGGAAGTGCAGAACTGGCAGGCGGAGGGCTGGATTGGGCACTCAGGTATCCGGCCCTCACAGCTCTGCTCTTTGTGCAGGCCGCTCAGGATTCTGTCAGAATGTGGCCTTGGGGTGTCTTGAGCTCAGTGCAGGTGCGGCCACTCTCATGCTCAGTGTGTTCTGAGCCCACTCTGGATTGTGTCAGTCTTGCCCAGGGCTACCATCCCCAAGGCAGCTTCCGATGGCTGGGCCTTTACACCACACACACACACACACACACACTCATCAATCGCACACAGACATGGGGACCTGTGTGGAGCAGGGGCTTACTACCTCTCATTGGATGAGTACACTTAGTTTTCTGATGGTTCCTTAATCACAGAATTCAAGAAGCCCAAAACAACCATTCCCATGTTGTTTTTGTTTTCTGAGACAGGGTCTCAGATGTAGCTCAAGGTGGCTTTGAACTCCCTGTGTACCTCAGACTAGCCTCAAACTTGCTGTCCTGCCACGGGCTCCCAAGTGCTGGGCATACATTTTCATTACTCAAAACTTTTTCACAAAAAAACAATTGCTGGCATTGTTAAAAAATTTTATGTAAAAGTAATACAGTCTGTGTCTGTGTGTGTGTGTGTGTGTGAGATCAAACCCAGGGCTTACACATGTGCAAATAATGTCAATTTTATGAGAAAAATCTGGCCAGCTGCTATCCTCCCAGAGGTAAAAGGTAGTGAAAATGTTGATGGCTTCTTTAAAAGCCCCAGGGCCAAACAGGAGTGAGAGATCAGTTAATGGTAAAATTTAAGATTCACTGGGCAAAGAAGCAAGGTTAAATCTGGGCAAAATCAAATTGTGAAGTCATCAGCTGGATGTAAGTTCTGGTCTTGCTGCAGCCTGGTGCCCTTGTGGAAGACCATTTTAAAGCCAGGAGGAACTCCCCAACCCAGTACTGGGGACCAAACCCAGGCCTGACCCAAGGCCAGCTCTTGCCCGCGGAGCTCCCTCCCCATCCTCAAACCTGGACAGCCCTTGGCCAGCCCCGCTCCTTCAGGCTACTGAGGTTAAAGCCTCGTGGCATGAAAGAACCAGGCAGAGTTAACCCCCAAATGCACGCTGCTCTTCCCTATTGAGCTCCTCCTGACCTGGATTTACCTTTACAATCCAGATTCACAAAACCTGAAATTTTACCCAAATTGGTGCAGAAAATGGCTTTAAAAAAATTTTCACAAGAAAAAAAGGAACCTATCATCCAACAGGATTCTTTATCATAGGTGCTCATCTGTACAGAACAGCAGTTGGGCTACAAGGACAATTCATGAGGCAGTCAGTATGGGGGCCCTGTTAGGTCCTTTGCAGTGTGCAAGCTCCTGGCCTCAGTTTCCCTTGTCCGCAGGGGTCCCACATCTGCAGGGCTCACCCTTTGGGCCCATGACTCCTGCTGAGACTCAGGAAGATGCTGGGGGTTGCTAGGGCTCAACACTTTCCAGGCAGTGAAGGGCTGAACTCCGAAGGCAGCAGCGCAAAAGACAGTTCCACTTTCGGCTGGAAGTGGCCTCAGGCAAGTCAAGCAGCGCATGGGTCTCCCAGGTCCCATCCGTGGTGGCCAAGGGTCAGAGGCACTAGGTCCAAGCCCCAGGCGGGGATCAGCTTTCGGAAAAGAGGCTGGGATATAAACCCTGCAAGTGAGAGCAACCAATCGGAGATCCTCAGCGGCCC